ACCTTGGGAAAAGATGAGCAAAACTCAGAATACTGATCCACTGCCTGCCTGCATTTCTTTCTGTTCCTCAGAGATGGTCTTGGGAGAGTGGAAATCTTCCCCAGTATTTTCCTCAAATTATTATTTCCATCATTTATCAAGGCTGCTTTAGGAAGGCAAGTGATCATATAATCTACCTGCCCTACCAGTTCCTCTGCCTCTGCATAAAGAAGCAATCTCATGAAATCAATGGACAGAAGAGTGCTATTGCCAAAAGACACCCATGAGGAGATAAGCAAATAGCTGTACATACTTTAGTGTCAAAAGCACAGCATTTAAAAAAAAAAAAGTGTGTGTGTGTAGTGGGGACATCTCCATAATCTAAAACTGCATGGGGCAGGGGGGCAGTTGGATGCTTAGAGTAACAATGAAAGTACTGCTTGGGAAACCATGTTCCATCCACAGCATCTGCTGTGCTTCAGATCCCAGGTTCCTGTAAATGTCCACCCTGGAGGGCAGCAAGTGGTGGATAAAGGAATTGGGTCCTGGTTGCATGCCTGCCACTCACATGTAGATCCTGACAGAGATTTTGGCTCAGGCCTCAGCCTGACCCAGCCAAGGCTCTTGTTAACATTTGTGGGGTGAACCAAAGGATCAAAAAAATTCTCTTTCTATTGCTCTCTCAGTAGGTATATATGTATATATGTATATGTGTATATATGTATATATGTATACATGTATATCTTATCCAGATAAAATAAAAATAAACAAACACTTTTAATTTAAACAAACTGCTAGGGAATTTCTTAAATGCTCTGGGGGATCATCAGATGCCACCTGATAAAGGCAAGGTTACTTTTTCAGGAGAAAAGAGAAAACTTTCTTCATGACAGAAAGTTGACCTATTGACTGGGAGAGAGGGTGCCATGAAGTTGAAAGAGAGCTCACACCATAATTGTTCCCAGCTCCACGGGTGGGTCTCTCTTCCTTCTCATACTGCCCACTCATATCATGGATATACAGCAAGAGGGACACAATCTAGCATCTCTAAGAAGATCTTGGCCTTGTTTACCGTAGTCCTCTTGTTTGTGCCCTAGAGAAAGGGATCCCAAAGCTCAACAGAAGCATTAGGAAAACCGTGCCTCCTAGACCACACATCTCACTGGCTGAGGAAAGTGCAGAAAAGGAATTAGGGAGTTGAGGCTGCACATCATCATCTTCTGCCAATGGCAGTAAAAAGAGGAACCCAACAAACTGACATGGATGGCACTGAGGGTGAAAGGGTAGAAAAGGCTTGGCAAGTAATGAATGTGTCCAGAGCTGCAGGTGCTGGAGCCACGAGCAAAATGAACACACACACACACCATACACAAGCAAGACAAAAACCACAGGCAGGCTGAGTTTCGTGAAGCAGTGAGAAGTAGGATGAACAAAGGAATAAGGAAAACCAAGGAGAACGTGCAGGTGCCGACATGTGAGGCACCATACTGTCTCTGCCACGAGTAAAAATGGGTGGAAAAGTGTATGATGCTTTCCTTAGATATATGCTATTGAAATTAATGAGAAAGGGAGAGAGAGAGGGAGGAAGAGAGAGAGATGCCAACTTCTTGGGAGCTTTGCTAAAAGGAAGGTCATTATCGACAGTCACAATGAACACTCACTGGATTTCCGTTTTGATGCAGCCATTGTGCGTCTGCACCATGATCTCTTTCATCCCCACAATGCCTGTGAGTGGCAGACATGGTCCTCACCTAGACAGGCATGGCTTTTTTACAGATGAGGAAAGGGAGCACCTGGGAAGGCTGACTTGCTCAGGCTCACCCAGCGGGCACCTGGCATAATGAAGACAGTTCCCATGTTTGTCTCTTACTCCAGAGGCTGACTCTAAACAATGCTGACTTATGCCTTGCCATAGCTCTCTGCTTAGGGTTTTCATGTGTAAATGTTCACCAAATCAGTCCACAAAGATTCATGGGAGAAACTTCTATAGGCCAGTCCCAGAGTTCAGCACTACAGAAGCTTTTATGACAAAATTAACCAATTTTCAGCAAAGCAAACAGCCATCATTGTACATATAAATATAGAATTACCACTTTGATAACTACAACACAGGATCTAAAAGCAGAGAGTAGAAGCATTTGCAGACTGAGGATTCTCTACCAAGGGGACTAGTAAGTTGACAAAACAACTAGTGGAAGATAACTAGGTAAGAGGTGGTGTTGATACTGTCATTTCATCTTGTGTTAAAGGCCTACGGAGGACCAGAGGGAACAGGACTTGGGGAGAGAATGATAGAAATGAAAGGAGGTAATATTGTGACTCTAGAAAGAGAAAGGGCTGATGCCATGGTGTAACAGGTCAAGCCTCTGTCTCTGATGTTGGTATCACATATAGGCACCAGTTCACGTCCCAGCTGCTCCACTTCTGATTCAGCTTCCTACTAACGGCCTGGAAAAGCAGTGAAGGATAACAGCTCAAACCGTGGCCTGCACCCATGTGGCAGAGCTGAAACAAGCTCTTGGTTCCTGGCTTTAGAATGGATTAGCTCCAGTTGTTGCAACCATTCAGGGAATGAACTAGTGGATGGAAGATTTTTCTCTTTCTCTCTGTGGCTCTGCCTTTTAAATAATATATGTATATATTATGTGCACATAAATATGTATGAGATAGATACAAAAATCTATGGAGATTTGTAAAAAATTTACTTGAAATATAGAAAAGTTTTGCTTTAAATATAAGAAGAATTGAGAGTAATATTAGCTAACACATATCTTATTGATCATATGTTTTAAACAAATTATGTATATTCTCTACATATCACAGCTTTGAGAAATAGGTACTCTTACTCTCACTTTATAGTTTAAGTAATTTGCCCAGGTAGTGAACATCAGAGTTACAAGGTCCGTAACCCATATCAAATCCACTCCTATTGTGTATGGACAAAAGGATGAATACATTTTAATGGATAATCAATGGGTTGCGGTGATAGTTCATAAACACCAGTAAGTATACATGGCAATCAACAAGTATGCTCATAAATTCAGATTCCTATACCCTACCTAATCTCTGAATTTTTTCGCATACATAGCAAAAATATGATTTATATTATATGTGTATGTATATATGAATGTACGTATGTATATAGACAGAGGCAGAGAGAGAAAGAGTGTGCCTGCCTGCTCATTCTCTCTCCCAAGATGCCCACCGTGGCCACGGCTGCTCCAAGCTGAAGCCAGAAGTGGAAACTCAGGTCTCTCCTGTGGGTGGCAGAGACCCAACTACTGAACAATCACCTTCTGCCTCCAAGAGTTCATGTTAGCAGGAAGCTAGAATTGGCAGCCATAACTGAGTATTTAAGCATGACACATGGGCATTTTAACTTATGTCTTAACTACTGGGTCAAATGTCCAAGCCTCCTCCAGTTTTCTGAACCAGTAGGTTTAGCCTTTAAAATTTTTTACTATAGCACCACTTACCATTTTTAGTGGTGGGACAAGGGATAAAGAGAGCTCCCATTTGTTGTCAGCACCCCATTAGCAACCCCTGAAAGAAGGGTCAGGCTAGGCCAAAGAAGGAGAGAAGAACCGCACTCAAGTCTCCCACACAGAACCCAAGCATTTGAACTGTCACTATTGCCTCCACAAGTTTGCATTGGCCAGAAGGTAGAATCAGAGTGGAAGTGGCACTCCGTAATAGGACATAGGCATTCTAAACTGGCTTCCTCACTGAGAGGACAAATGTCTACTTCAGTCCAGGACTTTTCCACATGTAGTCTAGCTGGGTAATATGTAAAGAATGTAAAGAATGTAAAGAAAATGTAAAGAAATGTAAAGAAATATTGCTTTACTTGAACAATTAACAAAGGGAGGGGTGCAGAAGCAAGGGCAGGCATGTTGATATGTTTGGTAGAAGAAGCTAAGGGAGTTTCTGTCCGGTGTCTTCATTTTGTTCTGCAATGTAGTATAGAGTCACATGATTACTGTAGGAAACTCGGCTATCACCTGATGGAATCCTATCAGCTAGGAAAAGACTGAAAGGACCCACCCCCAGCTTTGAGAAGCACAGTCACAGTGGGTTTTGGGGTTACTCATCTGTGCCTGAGACAAGTCTCTGTTCATCAAGCAATGGCAAGAAGGGGTGTGTATCCTACACCAGGGGTGGAAAGTCCAGTTGGTTGAGGAAAGACTGGATGGAGTGCAGAGATAAATTAAGTCTGTTAAGCATGATGCAAGCTAGGAACCCTATCAGAACATACTAGTTAGGTCTGCAAGAGGAAAAGCTGTATTTAGGGCTGAAAGGGAAGTAAATGGGAGGTCTGGTTTATTTACAATGTCCTTGTGTTTACAAAGGGCATTGCTAAACTTCTTTTATCCCAGAATTATTTCCCATAACTTCCTACTAGACCTCCTAAAACATTTCAATTTACTCCTGAAAAATGCATACAAAATGGGGAACATTTGTAGTGTTCAACTCACATAATTAATGGCCTTTCCCCGACTCCAACATCACCAGGGACCACATAACAACATACACTGTAAGGATGTAACCAGCTGGAGAGAAAACAATTTTTATCAAGAATTACTAAACTCTTAACATTCAGATATATAGAAAAAAAATCTTCTTAATGCAAATATCAAAGGTTGACTCTTTTTAGTCTCATAGTCACTCCCATTGCCTAGTTCAATTATCCCTCTGTAGAAAATCCACACTTGAGTCAGATGGGAAGTTCCAACTCCCTCAGCTACCTATTCATTTAGTCAATGCTTCATCGAACCAGTGATTACTACCACCTTTTCTTTCTCATCCAAAAATAACTTTCTTGGTACCTGTTACTGGAAGACGATGCTTTTTTTCAACCTGCCACTGTGAACAAAAATAATCAATTTTCAGGTGTGAAGACAAGATAGGGACCATTATTAGGCCCTGACAGTGAACCAGGTATAGAGTGTAGGATCCCTACTTCCACCTCCTCATGGTGTGTGTGCGGCTGCGGGGAGGACAGGGAAGTAGAGTTCACTTACCTAACTGAAGCTAAATGTCTGCATAATGAAGGGAAAATGTTTATGAACCCAAGCCAAGGCCAAGCCACCACTCCAGCCCTGTGGGCAGGCAGCGCACTCTTTCGGAAGTCTCTCAGACAGGACTCTGTTGTGTTTCTCCAGAAGGAAGCTTCCTGTGGGTCACAGTGTCTCCTGTCTTGCATCCTGGAAAAAAGCCAGAGCTCAGTCATCTGTCTCCCTCATCCTGTCAAGAAGGAAGAGTCAGAATTCCCATGCTACAACCTCAGTACAGTTGATGGGAAAATTGGACGAGAAAAAGGAGAACTACGGGAGAGTCCAAAAGCTGGTGGGGAATCACATACACACCCCATTGTCAATTATCAAAAAGTTTGTGAAATGTGTTTAAGAGATATTGTGTACTTTCCACTAACCTTTTCATAAAATGTTTACTTTATTTAAAAGGCATGAATAGATAGGAGAGAAATATTCCATACACTGGTTCACTCCCTAGTGGCCTGCCGCAGCTAGAGTGGAGCTGAGCTAAGGGCCAAGAACTCAATTCAGGGATACCACATGGATGGCAGAAATCCAAATACTTGGGCTATTACCTGCTACCTCCCCAGGTATACATCAGCTGGAAGCTGGAATGAAAAGCAGAGCTGGGCTCAAACCCATGCACTCTGACATCGTATGTGGACACTTCAAGTAGAGTCCCAAACACTGCATCAAATAAAACCTTCTCCACTAACTTTTTGAAGCTCTCTCTTTTGTGTGCGTGTCTCTATAAGCAAGCATATAATAAAAATGTGTATATATGTGTGTAATACGTAGTTTATAAACAATATGTAATATATACACCAAATGCATGTTTATACAAATGCATGTGTATGTGGCTTATACATAACACACACATATATAACAAATATAACACACACACACACACACATATATATATATAACAAAAAACCATAAAACATTACCTTCCCTTCCTCCCTAGCTCCAATTCCACAGTGCCTGAAAGTATAACCAAAGAACTCAAGAGAATTAAAATTAAAAACACAAAGCAGGTTTTCAACAGGATGGCTTGTTGTTTTCAAAACTTGATTTGCAAGGCCAGCTTAAAAGCTGATCCTACCCACGGTTGATGGATGCCTGAGGAAAGAAATGATTTGGCAATAGCTTCCAATATCCTCCCATCTCTAAACAGACAAATTCAACAACCCACGCTGTTCTTTTATTCTTCCTGCAAATGGGAAGAAACACTGCTGCTATGACATCTGTTTTAGCTCCAGAATGAATGCCCTCAGAACACCCCAGTGGCTGGGGACCTGCCTGCAGGGAGGAGGCCAGCCCAGGGGTACGTTGTTGGGCACTTGGGTGGCAGGCAGTGCCTTCCATACCTAGGAGCACCTTGGCTTTTGCAGTTTGGAAAACTTTATCCACAGCACACTAGTTTCCATAACCTCTGATTCTTTAAAGCATTAAAATAAAAGAGCCAAGGAAGTTACCAATGTGTACATATTTTTATCATCACTAATAATCTCCCAGTAATGAGAGCAGTCTATAACAAAGTACTGTAGATTTTCGTTGAAAAGAAGAAATTCTTTATCTCTTTATGATAATGCTACTAATGGAAGTGAAGCATGGCATTGCCTGTCCCGAAAAACATGACAAGTGGACTATGGTTTTCTTCAGACTGTTTCCTTCATCTTCCATCTCATGTAACCTGACTTCATCCTTACTCTATGGCTGGCTGCCTAACTTTTACAACACATCCTAAATAAAGGTAAAAATCACCAATGCAAATTACAGCTATTTCACCAGTTCATAGGTCTCTGCATTCCCAAGAGTATTGTGTGTGAGCTCAGCTCTGAACAGAGAGAACAAAAAGCTGCTTCACCAACACAATGGTGCAAGAGCTTCTGATCAGCATTTGAGACTCTAAGCCATCTGCCTCCATCTGCCTTCTGAGACATCACAGCCCATCTTCCCTAGTCATGTCAAGCTGCGTCTTGGCTGTTCATTATTATGAATTTATTCCTTTGGCTTTTCTTGGCCTATCTCTACACTTTCCCCCATTGGAATTCTAATCAGCTCAAAGAACCCAGCTCCTTGTGAACTTCAGAATTGAAAGCACTAGGCACTAGCATTTGTCCTACTGCTTTTGACTCCTGAATCCTGTTACAGTGGTTGTGTTCATGTCCTGGTTTGTTCTCAATTCTAGCTTAATGTTGATGTGCACCCTGAAAGTCAGCAGGTGATGTCTCAAGAGCTTGGTCTATGCCACCCACAAGGGAGAGCGGGACTGAGCTGGCAGATCCTGACTTTGTCACGGTTGCTGCAGGCATTTGGGGGTGAGCAAGAAGTTGAAGCTTGATCTCTCTCTCTCCCCCTCAAGTAAATAAAACAAAATTTAAAAACAATTGAGACCACTGGATCTTCTCTAACCTGTATGGTACTCCATTGTGCTTATAATTAGTTGGCTCATCAAACTACTCTGCTCTCTGGTTATCATATTCAATGAGCAATTATTTCTCCAAGTATATGTAAAAGAAGATGCACATTTGAAACCACTTTAAGTGCTATGCAAAAGAAAAAAGAAGAGAAAAGAAGAAAAAAGAAAAGAAAAGGAAGGAACGGATCCATGTGACCGGATAAAGGAAGAACCAAGTGAATTTTTAGACTGGTGATGTGGGAAGGCACCATAAACACCATCAAGAAGGATATATTTGGAATGAACAAGGAGAGCCACACATGGAGCTCAGGAGACAATGCGGAGAATTAGAGACAGCAAGGCAGAGAAAGGCATGAGACAGAGATCGCTTCTCTGCTGATTCACTCCCCAAATGCCCACCATGGCCAAAGCCAAGACCCCAGAATGTCAGAGCAGGCTTCCCACATGAACGATTGCGATTGACTACTTGAGCCATCACCGGCTACCTCCCTAGGTGTGTGCTAACAGGAAGCTGGAATTGGGAGCAGATCTGGCACTCAAGCCCAGGCTCTCAAATAGGGGATGTGGAAAAATCAATTAGCTTCAAATACTATGCCAAATGCCACTCCAGCACTACATCATAATGGTTATATATCCCTCAGTAGACTTGAGCTGCTAAAAGTGTTCATTTCCTTGCTTACACAGTACATTTAATGATGTTTATCTTGGAGAGTGGTATGGAAGTTAAATGAGAAATGTAGAAAGCATTTAACATAATATTTCACAAGAGCAAAGCCCTCAATAACTAAGTAGCATCCATCTTAATTATAGCTTCAAGAACAGACACCAGGACACAATTATCCAAATGAGTATTCTATTTTCTGTAATTATTTCATTTCTCAGTAGGTGAGGCAACTCAGATAAAACAGAAAGTGATTTGTTTAACAATCAAGATAAGTTAGAGTCAGGACAAGAATTCTCATTTCCTAGTTCCCGGAACAGCTAAATCGCCCAGTTCCTTGATTCCACATATTTTTAAACTGCTACCTAGTTAATTGCTCCTAGATTCTGTAGTTACCCAAACCAAAGATGCCACCACAGACTAACCATTTCAATTAATAAACTATAGAGTCACATAAGTATGCCCAAGAAAGATTCCTAAATCAAGTAACTGCTAAGAATATTCACTACTGAAAAATCTATTGAAAGTAGAAAAATGTATCAATGTGACCATAAATGCTTTTTTTCATTTAAGAGATCTAGTTACTTAATCCACATGTCTTGAAAAAAACTACTTGTTTTTAATCCATTCTACCAAGTCACATAGCAAGGAAATCTGAAATCTACAACACAGAGATCTCCCTGTATGGCTGAAAGTATTTCCTTGGGGTAATTGCTAGAATAGAAAACAATTATGATAGCTGATTGGTGATTAAAATCATCCAACACCTCATCTCCAACTTCTCCAGGTTCCCAAAATAAGTCTGGGATATTGTCTGGGAATAAATATGTTTGAAAAGCTATTCACTACGGGTCTGGTGCAATGGCTGAATGGTGAAATCCTTGCCTTGCGTGCATCAGGATCCCATTTTGGCACCAGTTTGTGTTACAGCTGCTCCAATTCCTTTCCAGCTCCCCACTTGTAACCTGGGAAAGAAGTAGAGGATGGCCCCAAGCCTGGGGACCCTGTACCCACCTGGGAGACACCGAAGAAGCTCATGGCTCTTGGCTTGGATTGGCTCAGCTCCGGCAATGCAGTCACTTGAATAGTAAACCAGCAAATGGAAGATCTTTTTCTCTGTATCTCCTTTTTTCTGCAAATCTGCCTTTTCAATAAAAATAATTTTTGAAAGCTATTCAGTAACCACCAAGGAAATGCAAATCAAAGTCATAATGTCATACAACTTCATACCCATTAGGATATCTATGACCGGAAGACTAAACATTGGTGAGGATGTAGAAAAAACCTGGAATCTCACACACTGTTACTGGAAATGAAAAATAGTACGTTAGCTCTGGCCAACAATCTAGTAGTTTGTCAAAAGCTTAAACACAGAGCTATCAACTGATTTAGCAATTTCACTAAATCCTAAGTCCAGGAAAAAAACGGGCATACAAAGGTTCAGAAAAGTATAATCCCTAGTAGCCAAAAGTCGTAGCAATTCAAAGGTCCATCAACCAATCAATGGATAAATGTGATCAAGAAATACAAAGACAGTGCTTGCCCATAAAAAGCAAGAGAGCCCTGATAATGCCACAGCATGGATGGGCCTTGGAAATACTGTTTCACTACAAAAACACGAACAAACAAAAACAAAAAACAGCCACAAGAGACCATAGATTATATATCTTCATTCACGTAAAATGGCGAGATGAGGCAAATCTGTAGATTTGGAGAGTAAGTTGGTGATTGCCTAAATTTGGAGGCATGAAGTTGGAGAGAAGAAAAGGAAATTTTACTGCTAAAAAATATAAGGATTTTTTTTTCTTTTAGGTAAGGGGAGTGGTAATTAAAATATGCTAAAATTGATTGTGGTGAGCTGTGTCATAACTGTATGAATATACTAAAGCCATTGAAGTATAACATTTAGATGAATAAAATAGAGTGTTGAGCTATATTTCATTAAAGCTGTTATTTTTTAAAGCTGACATCCTGACAGGTTTAAAAGCCACTGTTTTGAGTCTTTGATACTCAAAGTTTGGCTGGAAAACCAGTAACACCAGCATCATCTGGGAGTTTGTTAGAAATGCAATATGTTCATATTGGGGCATAAGAGATTCTGCATTTTAACAAGAACTAAAGGTGACTGTTCTACACATGTAAATCTAAGGAGCAGTGCTCTCAGGTACACTTGTGAACCTCTGAGAAGATGTGCCCCCCAGCTCAGGCAACGAAACCAAAGCATGAGCATCCAGTGCCTAAACGGAATGAGCATGGTAGCTCCATCAGCTATTCATTCCACCATAGGAAAATCC